ATTGTATGAAAGTCTGTTCTGATTTTATAGTACGTACTACAAATTGTGCACCCGTGTTCGGGAGCTATTTAACGGGCAAGCTCTGTGAAAATAACTCATTTAGTGCTTCTGTCCCGTGCATACGGTATGTATTTGTATTACACATACTAGAAAATTGTGCACCCCGTGCATCGCACGGACTCTGTACTAATAAATGACCTTAAAATTGTGCACCTCGTGCATCACCTGTGTTCACATTTTGGCCTATTTCAGGTCACGTACTATATATATCCCCTACATTTTTCTTTATTCATTTATATAATTATAAGACTTGATTAATGACCTTAATTTTGTGTACTCCGTGCATCGCACGAGATCTGTACTAGTTAGTAGAAAGAAAAGTCAACTCATAATTATGGATTTCTATGAATTCATTTTTAATAAAATCTGCATCCAAATTTACATGTGGTTTTGAAGTGAAAATTTGAAATTCAAAATCTCTTCTCATTTTAGTTACAAGAAAATCGGGCTGCATTCAACACTTGGACCAATTTAAAAATTATTGCTTAAATGAAGGGATTTATAGATAATTGTTATATCTACTCAATCACGTGATTATTTTCAATATAAAAAAAGATTAGATTACAAATTAGTGAATCATATATTACCTAATTCAATATCTTAACATTAAGGAATAAATCCATAGTATTATGTAAATCCGTATCTCATATTATTATATCATTAAGAATATTTATAGTTATATTATCAAATCATAAAAAGATAATAAATCCATATTGTAAAAAAACATAATTCATATAATTTTATAACAATTCTACTAGACTATTTAACAGTATTACTTTTTATTATATAATAAAATAATGATTAAATATTTTATGGTGAACAAAAATAAGTAAAACTGTTACTTTTTCTTATATCAAGGGATAAATTTATATGCTAAAATTAAATTTATATTAGTATAAATGTTTTGATGAGATAATATATTAATTATTTTACAAGCTAGCCATAACATGCTCATATTTAATGTTCTGGCTAAAAAAACAACGCTGGTTGAAAGATGTGGAAAAAACTTATAACCTTATTGTTTTTTAGACTTAACGTTTGATTAAAAGAGGTAGAAAATAGATAATAACCCTGTTACTCTTGAGACTTAAACGGACAAGGCTATGAAAATAATTCATTTCAAATGTGGAAAAAAACTTATAACTCTATTGTTTTTTATACGTAACGTTGATTAAAAGAGGTATAAAATAGATAATAACTATATTACTTTTTAGACTTAAACGCACAAGGCTGTGAAAATAGCTCATTTAATATCTCTGTCCCGTGCATCGCACGATGTACGTACTAGTAACAATAAAACACCACTGCTTTTTAATATTGATATGCGTCATTGATGATAGATGGGGTAAAAGATGAGAGAGAATTGGTGATAAGAATTAATTTATAGCCCAAAGTTATATATACAAAGCTATACAAAGCTGATTGACCTGGCTGACTGATTGACCCAATTGCCGGTTGGTGGAATGCAAGATACTCCAAAGTTGATAATAACGAGTCAAGCCTGTAGTCTGAAATCGAACAGCAATGAAATCGACTCAAACGAGGCAAGCTGCACTTGAATAGCAGGGACTGAAGTATTACGTAACCTAGTAAGAATCTAATGGTACTTATTATCCCAATCCTCCAACCTATCGATGTATGTGGCGTGGGGTTGGGATCCTCTGAAAGAGACAGATGCATAGGTGGCCACACATCACCAGTCACAATTCACCATAATTTCTCCTAATTAAGAAACCTTTCATAGACTCTGCCCAAAGACTGTAATTATCTCCTGATAAGACAACACTACTAGGAAAATGCACATCGACACGATCCATATCCCAATGCAGATCAACAAAATATCATAAAACAAATAAAAATAATGGTTCGAATTGGATCACGAAACAGTCAAAATATCAGTACGGGCAGAGACTAAAAAGGTCACGAAAAAAAAAACCGATGACACCAGGATGTAGCCAAAGATGAGACGAGTCGACGGCTGAAAAACGACGGCGATAGGAGCTGGAAGTGGACGGCACGCGCCGACTGAAGACTGCAGCGCAATGATGGAGAGATGGCGCGTGGGACCCACACGCGCCGCCGATTGGCCTAAAATTTTCGGCGACGACTCTCCTGGAGAGAGACGATGATGGGGAAAGTGAGAGTCAATAATGGCTGGATACGTACGACGAGAACCAAGCCTATAATGAACCCTAACCTGCTTTGATACCATGTAGCAATGTGAGATAAATATATAAGATGGGCCTCCCTTAGGTTGGGCCTATAAACCTAACTCTACAATACATAATACAACAATTATAACTAACAAATGTACATCTATATAAAGATATAAGATGAGCCTCTTTTAGGTTAGACCTCCAAACCTAACCCTACAATACATAACACAACAATTATAACTAACAACTATATTATAAATGCCAAAGAAATTATAACTAACAACTATATTATAAATGCCAAAGAAATTGCCACATGATGGATCTCCAACCTGCTCTTAATAAGCATGTCATCCACGTATACCTCATCTAGACTCGATTTTACTTATCCCTTAGGCTCGATTTTACATATTAATAATTTTATTAATATGGTAAATTTATTTGTTGTATATAGAAGGTTGGCTCCATTATGGAGCCAACTGTTGGCTTCATAGCGTTACATTATATTCCATGGTTCGATATCAAGAACTATATAAAAATAAATAAAATATTTTGAAATATTATTTTTTAAAACGGGACCACCTATGTCGGTTTTGATGATGGAAAATTCTATTTTTTTTTTGCCTTAGTCCTAGTTTATTTAATAAATGAATCACTCTGTACTTTTTGCTATGAAGCCAACAGTTGGCTCCATAGTGGAGCCAACCTTCTATATACAACAAATAAACTTACCATATTAATAAAATTATATTAGTGTTATTTAAGTAATCAGAGAATATGATAGGTTTATTTGTTGTATATAGAAGGTTGGCTCCAACAAATAAACCTTTACCTTGTCGAAATCCTTTTGCGCCTCTTTTGTCCAAGCAAACTTCGAACTCTTCTTCAACGTCCTGAAAAAGTGGGTTGCTCCGCTCAACCATCTTAGATATGCATTTGCCCAATCGTGCTATTCGGCCTGTTAAGATATATTTTTTTCTTTGATGTTCCTGAGTGGTCTCATCCCCGTACAGCTCGAACTTTCTTGGTGTTGCACAACAAGAGTTTTAAATAACTGCAAAGCCTCTCTTTGTCTCAAGCGTAAGACTGTAAAATCACTTTATGTACAATGTTAAGTATACATCCTTAACAGTCATAAAGCTAGTATAAGAATATCCAAAAGTTAGACAAGGAATAAAGCAGAGTGCTTGAGCCTTCTGATAGACTTTGCTATCAGCTAGTGCCCCCCTTTCTACTTTCACCTTGCCGCGACCGACCAGTGGCAGGGCCAACACTGGGATCTGTCTAGGAGGTTGCGCGGATCTCCGTCTGTCATTTGACGTCTTCTTTCGGGTTAGATTTGGATTTTTTCTTCTGACGGAGTGAATTGAAGTTCTAACTTTGTTGACTTCAAATCTATGGTTCTTTCTTCATCTTTAGGATGGATGACTTCAAAAGTGTGTTGGCAGTTGGCAGCTGTTGGCACCATTAGGCTTGGTTTTGGTGGTTGCCTAGAGGAGGAGAGGATTTATTGTATTTTACTTATTATTATGTATTTTGTGTGTGTTTGTGTTTATTTTTGTAATTTTTTATTCTCTATTGTAGGAGTTTGTAGTCTCCACTTGTGTGAGGGTTGGTAGTATTTTTATTTTTGTGTTTTGTTTGTTTTTTCTGTCTTTAGACTATCTTTGAGTAGACCTCCTCTAGATTCAACTTAGTAGATGATTGATTCACTTGTACCTGGTTGTTTTTTTAATATGTAAATACTTGTGTTTATTGATATAAATTCTATCGTTTTCGAAAAAACAAATCAACTAACTTTGGGTCTAATTTTACTTACACGACATTCAAATATACACATGTTTTGAATTACATGGATAGAACTAAATAAAGTAACCAGATTCATTCAAATACAAAGAGAGCGGGTTTGTACTTGAGTCTAAAATAGACTCAAGTGTGGATCGAGACTTTAAATATCTCATCTCAACTCCTTGCATGACTCTACTCATGTAATATATAGGGAACTGCATAGTTTTCTCCTCCCTTAGCAACACCGAGCTCACTTCAGCCTGCCCAATGGAAATGTAAGGTCTTCTCCTTGGACAAGTTTCGCCAACAATGGTAAGTTCGTAAGCACGACCTTGACCTCATCGAAAACCTTTTGCGCCTCTTCTGTCCAAGCAAACTTCGAACTTTTCTTCAATGTCCTGAAATCTGCTCAACCATCTTAGATATGCATTTGCCTAATCGTGCTATTCGGCATGTTAAGATATATGCATTTTTTTTATGTTCCTGAGTGGTCTCATCTCCAGTACAGCTCGAATTTTCTTGGTGTTGATCCCGATCCCTCTTTGTCACCATACTAGGAATTTCCGTGACTTTTACCCCAAACACATGTACACTTGACCGAGTTCAGCTTCCATCCCATATTTTCTCAAAGTGTTATACAACTCTTAGTTGTATTTCTTTAAGAATCCTAAAGACCTTCAAAGACTTTAAGATTTATGAATTTTTTTAAAATTGCCACATGATGGATCTCCAATCTGCTCTTAATAAGCATGTCATCCACGTATACCTCATCTAGACTCGATTTTACTTATTTCTTAGACTCGATTTTACATATTAATAACTTTATTAATATGGTAAGTTTATTTGTTGTATATAGAAGGTTGACTCTATTATGGAACCAATCTTTGGCTTCATAGCAAAACCGAAAATTTTGACCCCTCTATTAGATTTTCCTATACTTCTCAAACAAATTAAAAATATAAAATGTTGTTAGATTTCAATTACCTGTTCATACTGAAAATGATGAATTGGTTCCAATCAGGTCCGATATAATTTTCACACATAACCGAAAGTTAACCGACTGTATCATTTGAGCTCCTCAGATTCAGAAGTTCCCCACATATCTCTTTTAGGGATCGCTCTACAATGAGGAGGGTCAGCTGTCTCGCCGCCGTACGCCGCGCCGTGGAGGGCGTCGCCCCCCTCTCCTTCAATCGCCGCAAACTCCTTAGGCCGCGGCCGCGGCCGCATCTTCCAGGCGGCGGCTTTCGACACCGCCGCTTCAAACAGATCCTCCGCCAGATCTCATTGGTTGTTGTCCGGCAAAAGGATTGCCGCTGCCGGTACGGTGCTGTTCTCGGTAGCCGCTGCCGCGCTCGTCGGGGATGTTGAGGCCAAGGAGTCCGTCCAGTTGAAATTCCGGCCGGACGAGGTGGTTCTCTATCAGTATGAAGCTTGCCCTTTCTGTAACAAGGTCAAAGGTACATTTTTTGATGAAATATTTGGGACTATATTGTGTGTTCTTGGTGATTTGTTTATTTAAGTAGAATCAATTTTGTTCTGAATCTGTATTTTCGTTTTATGTTTTAGTCAATCATTTATTTTTTGGTAGCCATAATTTGATAAATGGAATCCTAAATGCTGCTATTGAAGTCTGTTAATATTCAAAGTGGATCCTTGGCTTCTGATAGATAGAACTTGGGAAATGTTATGGTTAACATTGATATTCAATTCACTAAAAGAAGAAAGTTCAGTGAAACTTATTCACTTCATGCAAAAAAAAAAAAAAAGGGCTCAAGAGTGGAAGCAGGAAGTGTTGCTCCTCACTAAGTTTTAATAGCAACCGATAAATTTGGCTCCAGCTCCAGCTCGGTCCAATACTAGTTGTACGTGTTTTTTTTTTTTAAAGATCTAAAATACGCAATTTAGTTGTTATACATAATACAATCCAATGCTTTGTAGAAGTTCTTTAGATAAGTCATAGTTATGTAACAAATATGCCCGACCATCTGACACAGTATCAAGAAATGAAGTCTCTGTGCTAGAGCAACTGAAAACTAACCTAAGAAATTGTCAGAAGAAAGATTTTGTCTCACAAACAAAGATCAGACATGCCTACTTCATAAGGTTTCACAATGTTGGACATGTGTTTTAGTACATTGCAGTCAGTAGATGGGGAGAGTAGCCCAACTATTTGTTTTTCTATGACACTTGTTTATAGAATCATTACTTATTCCTTTCATATGTAAATTATATTGCCAAAAAATATTTGTAGCTCTACCTTGTACTTCTGGGTTTTCTTTTTCTAGCATTTCTGGACTACTATGATATTGCATACAAGGTTGTGGAGGTCAACCCGATCAGCAAAAATGAAATTAAGTGGTCTGATTATAAAATAGTGCCAATATTGATGGTTGATGGCGAGCAGCTGGTTGATTCATCTGGTATTAACTTTTAATGACTATTATTCAGAGTTTGGCAATAACCAAATGAGATAGGAACCTTAATATTTTGTAATTAACATTAATTATTATAGAAACACATGACAGAGTTTGGCATGTGTTTAATTAGAGTGAACTTTTTGTAACTATGTTCATGCTCTCTTTATGCAGATATAATTAATAGGTTGTCAAAAAAGACCCCCAGAGTCTAATAAAGGGAATATACCAGCACTAAGATTAAGATATTCGAAATCGGGAGATGGAAATACAGGGATAGGGGTTGGGTACCGGAAAGGGCGTCTAAAAGGAGCGTCCAATGAAGCGGTTCGATCTCCCTCGTTTAGGCCGATACAGGCTGACCCAAGATTGGGACTTTGTTCCGTATGGCAAATCTCACTAATAGTTCGAAGAGACGAAGTTTGGTCCTTCTCCTCATGGAGAAGAGAAAACGTGGAGGAGGTATGGATTAGCTGGGGTCATTGACCTTATACTTGTTTATTGACTCTGTTTGAAGCACACTTTTTCTTGTTACACATCTTCTCTTCACAATTAATGGATATCATCTTTGCTATGACCATTTGGCAATATTTGCAATGGCCTCTGAGGACCTGTTACTCAAATATTGCAGCTGGGTGGACTATCACTTGGTTCACCTGCTATCACCTAATATATATCGAAATTCTTCAGAAGCCCTCGAGTCATTCGATTACATCACTAGTCATGGTAAGACCAATGTACTATCTTATGCATCTTTTTTTTTTTTGCATTACTTTAACATGGTAATTGCATTTTTATGGCTGCACTTTTGTCTCATGAACGCTTGTCATTAGGGATGGGACTCGGAGCATTCCGAACCATTTTGAAAACCGAAATTACTTCGAACTGAAAAAAAAAAACCGTTGATCATTTGACTTTCTCAAAACCGAAAAAAATAATTGGTACGCTTTTGGAGATTTCACAAATATCGTATCGAGGACCGAACCGTACCTAACCGAAGAACCGAATTATAAAATTAGATGCGCCTTGTTCATAAATTTGTGTCAACTTTAATCCTGTACAATTTGAGTATTTTTAAAATACTTAATAGCGTAAAATAATAATACTTGAACTTCACTTGGAATTTTATACTTAATAATTATTGACCTAAAAATAATATTTAAAAAAAAAATATATATTACGTTTGTTGATGCTTTTCTTAGTCTTATTCTATCTTATACTCAAATTGGCTTAAAAAATTAGAGATTTTTTTTTTTATATAATATTTTTTTTGGATTCCAATTTCCATTATTAATTTCAAAAATCTAGCCTTAACAAAGATTTTGAGTTATTTCTATTTTTGAAAATAATTTAAGAAAACTCTTTAATGTGGTTAAATATTTATGAATGTTGGATTTAATAAAAATATCTAAAATCTTAAATATTACTAGTCATTCAATTTTTTTTTGAAAAATAATTCGAAATCTCTGTAGCTCCGAATTGAACCGTACTGATACGAACCATTCCGATAATCCCGAATCCTGAACCAAACAGAAAAATAAAAATCTCCGAACCGAATCATCCTGATTTTTTCTGGAGATTGAATTTTAGTGATTATTTAATTTCGGCATATGAAACACAAGTGCCTGTACAAGTACTTGCAATAGGATACTAAATGAATATTAATTCTTTAATTACTCCAGTCATTTCTCATTCCAAGGTGAAACTGGATATTGCTTTGTACTCTAATATTTTTGCTGAGATTTTAGGAACTGGGATATCTTATCCCAAGCTACCTGGCTAGTATTTCCAGTTGATGAAATGTTTTAGTGAAGTGAGCCATATAGGCAAATGATTTTCTACATTCTTGAGGAAAACCATATCGTGAACTCTGGTTTTTTGTTCACAGGCAACTTCAGCTTTACTGAGAAAATAACAGCCAAATACGCAGGAGCAGCTGCAATGTATTTCGTCTCCAAGAAATTGAAGAAAAAGTAACATCACAGACGAACGGGCTGCATTATATGAAGCTGCTGAGACGTGGGTGGAAGCTCTCAACGGCCGAGGTTTCCTAGGTGGACATGCACTTTTATTTGTATCATCCAATATGTATTAAGTTTTTGTCCATATGTATAATCTATTTTCTTTTATATATTTCACCAGGTGGAACCAAGCCTAACTTAGCTGACCTTGGAGTTTTTGGTGTTTTAAGACTCATACGCTACCTCAAGTCCGGTAGAGACATGGTAGAACACACGAGAATCGGTGATTGGTACTCCCGAATGGAAACTGCTGTTGAACCATCTTCGAGAATCCAAGCATGAACTCATCAAGCATACAGGTCGATTTGATTGAAGTAGTATATGATCAATAATATAATTTGACTCTTTTGGTAATTTGGTGGCAAAAGTTTATACTTGAGATTATTGAGCACAGAAAAAAGGTGCCGACTCAGATTGGGATTTGTTCTTTGTGAAAACTTTATATGCATACACGTCCGTTTGAATGGAGCTCCTCCAAGCTACATCAAAGGCGGGTGTATCTTGACACGAGCATGCAAACAAAACTCCTCGTCGTGTAAAGAAAAAAGTTGAGGCATTTTGTTGTTATCCTTCTCATTTTTTTTTTTTTTTCC